TTCTGCCAGGGTACCACCCTGGCACTGCCTCTGTACGACAGCATGGTGTGTCACTTATGTTGAAGCCTGCCAAAAGGCAAGGAAAGTTTCAGACAGTGTCAAAAGCTCAACCACCCTCAGGATTTTAAAGCAAAAGACTCCTTTTTTTTTCTCTCTCTCTCTCTCCCTTTTGTACCAGTTGCCCAAATGCCTTTGGACCTGGTTTCTGGCACAGAAATGTTCAGGAAATAGGGCTGAAGGAACACCTATTTAAGTGAAAAAACACGCAAGAACGTTATGCAATAACAGAAAACAAATGGTTGGCTGGTGGTGAAGTTCGAACTCCACACTGCTGGGACTTGAGTTGGTCGTAGAGGGAACCATCATAAATTTCAAGGTGTAACAACATTAATGAATCTAGACAGTGTAATTTAATAGGTTTAAAACAAAGCATGCCATTGGTGGGATTGAGGGCAGGCCACTTATTTTCTGTTTCCAGTTACAAGTGAAAGAAGTTAATGGACAGCAGATTTGCAGCAGAATAACAACTGTGCTGCTCATTTTCATCTTGAAAAGAGCGCTGGAGACCAGCCCATAGCAGAACTTAAAAAATAAGTCAGCTACACCCTTTATCTGTGTGGGTTCTTCCTATCAGCAAGCACTGCCCTGGGTACTTCCCTGATTGCTTACAGATGGAAATGATACAACCTCAGGGCCTAGGGATGGAGCCCAGTGCTGGAGCACCCACCCGCCTAGCAAGGGCAAGGCCCTGAGTTGGATCCCGACCACTGAAACAAAACCAGCAAAATTTAGAAGCTAAACTTATTATCAGTCAGATAATGATGGCATATACCTTTAATTCCAGCACTTGGGAGTTAGAAGTAGGTGGGTCTCTGAGTTGAAGGCCAGCCTGGTCTACAGAGTGAGTTCCAGAACAGCCAGGGCTACACAGAGAAACCCTATCTCAAAAAACAAACAAACAAACAAGCATATACATATATATTTAAAAAATAAACCTTTAGGGACTTATAATAAAAAGAGAAGCAGATATACACAGTTCTATCTACTACTAAATCTTCAAAGCAGGCAAGAAGTGAGATGAAGTTATATTTTGATGGCACCTTAAGAAGTTGGCAGTTGAGGGCACTTGAGGAAATGGTGCAGTTATTTTCCAGTGATATAGCCATTGATAAGTTGCCATTTCTCCAGTAAATACCAGCTCCACCCCTGTTAATGCAGCAACCATAATTAATCTCAGCATGTCGCATATAAAAAAAAAAAAAACAGATGAAAGTGGGCAGGGGAGACCTTATGTGTACAAAGGTTTCAGCAGGAGTTGGAGGGGGGGGCTGAATGGTGACCAGAAATCATTATTTATATGTACAAAGTTTTCAGAGAATTAAAAAAAAAATAGCAGGAAGGCAAAAGAAAAGTGTTTGAAAGCTCAACATAAACTTTTCTATAAAAGAAACAACACCATTTAAATTTTTTTTCAGAATTTATTAAATACGAAACAAAATTTAAATTATTTACTATTGAGCAAAACTTGCAACACCTTGTAGGTGAAAGTACTTTTTTATCCTGTGGTGTTTCTCGTTTGCCATTTTGTTTTTAAGAAAGTCCATTTGACAACTAGCTAATTTGAAAATCAAATTGTATCAGTGTTACAGTGTTTGGTACCTTAATATATACCCATTTTTGGCGTATCATCTGGATAGTTTCATAATTTCCAATAAATATGCTGATAATAATTTAAGAACTAATAGAGAGTTGGAGATGGAGAGTTTGGGGGTTAAAATACTAAAACTGTTCTTCTGATGGTAATCATATTGCATTTTTTCCTTCAGGGCCCACCACCACAGGGACTATCTAAGTTCCCACTGTTGACCTAACAGCAATTCTTCTACCAGGAGGAAGAAGAACACTTAGTAGCTCTTGAGCATTTAATGCAATCCAACCCTTGTGCTGAACTCCTCTAGGTTGCCTCATTTAATCCTCACATCAGTCTTCAGGGAGAGAAGCTATTTTCATCATTAGAAAACCGAGGCTATTTCCCCATGTCACACAGCTATTGAGGTTCCAGAGCTTGAATTCGCACAACCTAACCCCAGAACTTTAGTGATTTTACACAGTGTATTAGACTAGGTTCAACATAAATTTCAGCGTAAAATATGTGTTTGTTTTGAAGATGATGCACCAGTAATGTCAACTGTCTTCATTGCACTTCTATTGTTGTGATGACACACCAGGACCAAAGTGTTTTACAGAAGAAAGGGTTTATTGGGGCTGACAGTTTTGGTGGGTTAGAGTCCAAAACCATCCTGGCAGGGCTCATGCCAGCAGGCAGGCAGGATTGAGGTTGGAGGAGTAGATGAGAGCTTTCAACTGCTGCAATCACAAGGCAAAAAGAGCTAAGTAGAATGGACTTTTGAACCTCAAAGGCCACCACCAGTGACATACTTTACCCAACAAGGTAAAGGTGACAATCCTTCTCAAACGGTTCTACCAACTGTACACCCATTTTCAAATATAGGAACCTGTGGAGGCCATTGTCATTCAGACCACCAAACTGACTATCTGGCCTCACTTTACAGCTTTTAGCTTTCCAAATTCTTAATCACTTTGGTTCTCAACTTCATAGTGTACTCTTAATTTGTACTCATTTCTAAACACCAAAAGGAACATGGTAAGATTGAGTCTCATTTAAAATAAGAAAGTGTAGAGCTTAGCATTTCCTGCCAAATCTTCTCATACAATTATCACCTTTTGAGAATGGGCATTTCTGTCTGCTAAACTTTGGTTTACTCAATGGCATTTCTTCTTACCAGTCAGAATAAACAAAGGAAAGTAATGTGTTTGAGAGAAATCTGTATTTAAGTTTGTGATAGTTCAGAAAATGAGAGCAGATTCTGATGTAATTCTCTGGCAATAGCTACTTTTCCATCTCTACATTTACACTGATTTTACAGGAAGAACAATAAAAAAAATTTCATAACACACATAGCAATGCTTCTGGTGGAGATCTTAACACCATTGAGTTTTTAATTCCTAGAAGAGATACAAATTTTTAAAGTGCAAGTTAGCCCCCAACAAGGAAAGGAAAATTTCTCACTCTTTACAATCTTGATTATCTACAATTTTTCTAGTAAAATATGTTGTTATACCCATGTGTCTGAATTTACATATACATGTGCACATATAAATGCATACATGCATGTAGACATACATAGACAAATTATATTTTGAAAACTAAGTATTTGTGGTGAATACTATTAGGAAATTATTTAGTATGAGTTTAAATGCCTGAGCATTAATCAACAGTTACTGCATATTTTGCAAAGTCCAATGGATCAGTATGAGAGGCAGAAGACACAGCAGAGACTGAACAGGGGCATGAATGTACACCAGAAAGGCATTCTTTGGAAACACTTTTGAGTGCAGGTAAGGAAGTTCAATTAATGTCAAATGGAAATGAACCGTGACCATACAGGACACCACTTTTTCTAGAGATTTGAGTAATTTTGAATTAGAACTGAGAGAATACATGAACACCAGAAACAGTAGGACTGTGATATCTAATGTTTGCTACATAATCACTTGAAATATATTCACTGGGCAGTGGTGGTACATGCTTTTAATCCCAGCACTCGGGAGGCAGAAGCAGGCGGATCTCTGAGTTCTAGGCCAGCCTGGTCTACAGAGCAAGTTCCAGGACAGCCAGGGCTACACAGAGAAACCCTGTCTCAAAATAAATAGATAGATAGATAGATAGATAGATAGATAGATAGATAGATAGATAGATAAAGTGTCAGGAAATTCCTTACTAATGAACTAAAGGTCATGGTAATTTGGTTAGGTACCCTTCGACCTTTGAGTTCTGCTCACTGCTTTCGTCTGTTTTTGAGACAGAATTTCACTCTGCAGCCCAACCTGCCCCTTGACTCTGCCATCCTCCCTCAGGCTGTCCAGTGGTGGGGTAACAGGCATGTGCCACCATACCCGACCAGCTCCCCCTATTCTTGACCATCAGACTTCTTTAGCATTTGTGGGTTTTTTTGTTTGTTTGTTTGTTTTGTTTTGTTTTGTTTTGTTTTCCCCTTGTAGCTGTTCTGTCATACTCTTGCTAGACAGGGATGTTCCAGTATTTGCTGACTTGAACAGATTTCTGCAAAGGACTCTAACCACACACCCACTCATTCATTTCTTTCTCTTTGAAATTCTCAGAAGTGTTAAGGCACTTGAAAACGCACGTATTTGTTGAAATTAATAGAGGCTTGAGCCACAAGGCAGGGGAAGCCGACCAGCTCCTGTCTACCTCTCCTAGACAGAAGTAATATGAACTGACTTAACACGCATTCATACAAGAAGGAAAAAAAGAAAAACAACCTAAAACAGTACCTTGAGTTCGCTATTAGAGTCCCAAGTGTTCAAAACTCCTGATTTAGCTTAGACAAAATAGCTCACATTCCATTTCGAAGGAGACTGCCTTCCTCCCTACCCATTTCCCTAACTCTTCTTTGCCCACCGAGTTTAGCTTGTCTTTTTTTTTTCTTCCCCCTTTTGTCTTAGTCTTACTGTCTTCCCCGTCTCCCCCCGCCCCAACACACACACCCTACGCCATCCCTAGCTGCAACTTCCTTTAATCAGGAGTTTTCTTAAAAGAGGCAAGCTCTTCTCCGGAGAAAGCACAGCCCTCAGCGGGGCTTTTCTGTGACGAGGATGCCCTAGGGGTGAGAAGGCTCCCGGGCCAAGTTCAGGCATCCGCTGTCAAGAAAAGGCTTTATCCCACACGCTGACTTCCTTGCGGGTCTGGTCCCTTCCACACAGCTGGACACGGGAAAGCAGCCTCCCTCAAGGAGCAAAAGCCCGGGCACTTTCAAAGCGCCCTTCCTTCCCAGATCCAGACGTCCCGGGAGCGAAGGCGGGGCCACCACGCTGGCGACACTCTCCCAAAAGGACAGCCCCGCCTTCCCGCCACCTTAGGGAGTTGGTACTTGAAGCGAGATCGCCCTCTCGGGGAAAGGCAGATGTCCCTTTAAGGTTGGCCGTGCCGCTGCCCGTGGACTTTAGCCTAAACACGGTCCCGCGAAGTTGGCTTTATTTGTCCATGTCTCGGACAGAGCCTGGGAGGCTGCCAGTGAGATTTCAGAGCCCGGGAGCGCCGAGGGGCGGGGGATGCCGCAGTCCATCTGGGATGTGAAAAGCGTGGAGCGAGCCTAGAGGCTTTCGACCAAAACACAGGAAACCGCTCCTCCGACGCTCCTGGACGCTGCGGCCACTGGGGCCACCGCCGGACACCCGCGGAGACCGCCCGGGTGACCCAGAGCTCAGGGCGCCGGTGCCCGGGTCCTGCCAGCTCGTGTCAGCTCCTGCCAGCTCCCACCCACAAACCAGCACGTTGCGGGAGCTGCAGCCGCTCCAGCCATGGTCCCCAGGCGCCCTTCCAGCCTAGAGGTCACGGTCGTCTGCATCTGGCTCCTCACGGGTGAGCGACCCTGCTTTGCTGAGCGTCTCGGGTGGGGCTCGGCGAGGGGTGACATTAGCAGAGGGGCAGATCAGAGAGGCCCTCAGGTAGAACGGCCAGGTCAGAGGACTGAAGGGAGGGCCAGCGCAGGGCTGAGTGGGGGAGTGCTCAAAACTTTCCAAGTAGAAGTGGCATTTCAAATTAAAGCTGTTTCTTTTTTACCGTCGCGCGCGGTGTTTTAGGCATCTGAGTTTTGGGAAGGGAGACTAGCAGAAGGGTGGGCGCCTGATTAGTGTGCGAAGTCTCTGCCCTAGGGTTTCTAAGAAGTGGTCTTTATAGCCTTGCCTTCCTGTTTAATACTTAGAACCTTTTCTGCCACAGATCAAGGAAAGACAGGCACGCGAGTCAAAACTACTTCTTGTCCCAAAATGACGTTGCTACTCTAGAGGCGGAACATTTTGAAACTGAGGGTTTAGTATCCACACATCACACTGCAGTCTTTCAAACACAAACGTATTTTTTAAGGAGACGTGGTGCCCTAGAAATGCAGTGTTATATCCAGTTGAGAGAAACTGGGGAGCGTTCCGGATTTCCCTAATGGTAGCCTGGGTCACAGCCTTTATTGTCGTTACCAGCTAGGGAGGGAAAACTGAGAGCTTGTCCCAGTGAAACGGTAGAAGCTTTAAGCAACAGATTATCACCTCCTTAGCCCTTTAATCAGCGGTTGACTTTAACGTGGTGACATGATATTCAATTGTCTGATGTTTTCACTGTTGGCATGCTGGACTAGTTAATTTCACCTCTGACTGTTGTTAACAGGAGGGCCAGTTGAGCTTAAGCCCCCGGAACACTTTCCACTTACTAGTGGGTTATCAGTAAGCCCATCTCTTTTCAGTGAAGTGGCATGAGGAGTTAGTAAGCTACGGGGCTTTTCACCCAAGCATTTCCTACTTCTCAGGAAATGTCCAACAATCCAAACATAGGTGACTTCTGAACAGTGTTATAGGCCAAGGGAGCGGCTTTAACCTACCAGCAATTGCAGAGACCCTTGATGCAAGCTTGGCTTGAGATTTCTCTCACACCTCAACTTTTAGAGATTGTATCTAGATGTTTTGCAAAGTCTGAATTGTTTTCTAATTACTCAACCTGTAGCCTCTCTTTCTCTCTCTCCCTCTATCTCTCTCTCTCTTTCCATTTTATGAAACATTCAGTCAGTGCAGAAACAGGACTTGAACATTCTCTAAAAGAATGAGGAGTCGGGGTGATGGAGTTACAATTTCATGTAAACATTGGTGTAACATGCCTTGGCTGAATCCAAGATGAGAGAATTAAAGGAGAAAATTCGGTATTTCTAAAGTATTTTCCGGACATTTAGAGCGTTACTGATAGGGAGGACAGGTTCTTTATATATGGTGTATTTATGTCCATTCCATAGGATGGTATTAAGGGTCTCAAGATTGACTTGTACTTGGAGAACTCTCACCAGTTCAGGACTCTGCAGTTAGTTACTCTAGAATCTTACAGGCATAGCCACTTTTAAATGATATTATAGAGTTTACTTTGTCTCCGAGCCTCTTAACCCACCCACCTAATATGACATTTTTCTTGTACATTTTTCTTGTTATCTATTTTAAGAAGATCGTCTGTGGTAGATCATGGTTCCTTCTCAGATGAAGATCCAAAGCTCTCAACTGACTACCCAAATCCAGGACCCTGTGTCTGTTTCCTATTACTGCTATAAGTTGCCATTGATTTATTGGCTTAAAATAAGATATTTACTGTTTTACAGTTATGTGGGTTTTAAGTCACACTGTGATAAACTCAAGGTCCCCCAGGGCATTTCCTGTGGAGGCCTTAGAAAAGGGGCTTCTGCTGCTTTCCACTTCCTGTGACATGCACGTCTTCGAAGGTAGAGTGCAACTTGTTCGTCTTCCTCTCTGGCTCTGCTTCATGGGCACATCTCCAAGTCTACCTGCCCTGGATCCCCGCAATCATCAAGTATCCCTGTCCAAATCCCTGTTCAATTATACCTGCTAAGTCTGTTTTCTCATGTGAGCTGACACACTCAGCTTTCTAGGGTTAGAGCAAGGGCATTGTTGGCAGGCCATACTATTGTCCTGCCTATCACAGCCTTTAAATGGAATACCCGTTGCATCCGTCATTTCCTTACGCTCCTCGTAACCCTCTTGCTTTTTGCCACTGTGGATATGATCTTGTTTTGTGGATCTACAGAAGAACTCCACCCTTCCTTCCCACTACCCCCTTGCCTTCTAAACAAACTCTCTCCAGCGCCCAGAGCTATGCATCTATCATAACAAACCACAGCCATTCCAATAAACTTCCCAGGCATTTACAACTTCTCATGTTAAGTTTCTCCCAACATATATTAAATAATTTGTGGAGAAAAATGTTCTCACTTATGCCAAAATAAAGTCCTTGTAATTGTTTGATACAATTCAGAGTCCCAGGGTAATTATATGACACACACAAAGGTAATTTAACTGAAGGTAGTTTCATAACCAGACAGCCTGGAGGAGGCCTTGAGGAGAGCAGTCACCACAGAGCACATGGGATAGGAAACTGTAGATAGAAATCACATGAAGCAACAGTGCGGAAGAAGCCTTGATTGCTCATGGGCCCTGAAGAACCTGAAAACTGGAAGAAGGCTGCTGCGTCAAAACCATGGTGACGTGCAATAGGATCAAAACTAAAGCTCATCCAAGAAGGAGTAGAGGCAATATCTACTTTCTCCCAACCCTGTGTAACACTTGGCCATTGCTCTCATTCGAAATATTCAAATGGTTGGATCCAGCCTTCTAGATAGATAATTACAATAAGTAGCACAGAGTAATACTGGGATTTATGATATGAAAGGACCCAGGCCAAGAACTTGGTAATGTTTTATATCTAGTCTAAAACACATCTTCCGTATTTTAAAAATGAGCTTTTTAAAAAGTACAAGGTTAAGTCCATTTGCCCAAAGTTTCACAGCTAGTAAATGACAAATTGCTTCAATTCACACCTCTGACCTTATGTTTCCTGTTATGAAATGAGGCTAAATTGTACAAGCTCATTTTACTCTATCTCTCAACTATGTGAGTAAAATGCAAACCTAAGTGGCTAAAATACTCTGATAAGGATGTGTATAGTTAATGAAGCAAGTGTTATTTCCATGATTTTTAGATGTATACTGAAATTGAGTGATAGCACATTCTCAGAAGAATCTAAACAAGGTTACTTCTGTCTCAGTTTATTAATAACAGGATCTTGATAAGCCCCTGGTTGAGCTGTTTTTGAGCTATCTATTGCTCTTCTGTAGAATGATGCCTAGAAGCATGAGTCATCTTTGAGCCTTCCTTTCCACAGCTAGTATTTCTTATACTAAGTGAAATACAGTGAGGAGAAGACTGAGCATGGGGAGGCAGATAGTCACTGATCCAAATCAAATGAATGAACTCCAATGGCAGCTGTGTATTAAGAATTACTGAACAGGAGGCAGGGGGATATTTCTCTTACTCATTATGATATCTGTACATGCAATAATGAATCCACTGGGATATTTGTTTGCTTAGTTAGAAGGCAGTGAGAGTGACAAATAAATATGCCAAACAAGTTTAGCTTTGTCATAGGTGGTTTTGATGCTAAACCGACGGTTCACATCAGTAAAGCCTTCCTCTCTGCTGTCCCCGAGGGTTGCATTTTCAAGAGATGATTAGATCATGTAGGTTCTAACTTAGTGATTTAGTCAACTAATGGCTATAAAATCAGAACAAATTATTGAGGGGTGGTGGAATTTGCTGTGTGGTTAGAGGGCCTAGAGAGGTGTCCTTGGGGGCTGTATCTTGCCTATCACCCCCACTTTGTGTCCACCATGATGGGAACTGGTGTTCTACCGTGACCTACTTGCTGTGGACTGATACCTCTGTTACTCTGAGCCAAAATACACAATTCATTCTTTAAGCTGTCTCTGTTAGGTGTTTCCTCACAGTAGACAGAAACGCAACTGATGCAGTCACCTGGCCACATAATGACTGAGCTCTGGAGTCATGTCTGATTGCTGCTGACTGGCTGATCTATGTGGATAGATGCTCCTCTGTCTTTCTTCCTCCACCCCCTACCCCTAAAACTTTCCACTGAGGCTCATAACTGGGCAAATTTTCATATGTCCCTTAAAATATTTTAATAGAATAAATTGGTTGTTTGATGCATTTTCTGAGAGTTAGGATCTAAACACTATTCTTTGCAGTTGCTCTTCTGATACAGGAGACACAAAATAGTGTATCTGCGTTCATGTTAAGCGACTGGGATGAAAGATATTTTGGAATTGTTTCCATTGTACTAAGGTCAGAATAGATTGGCCTATTCAGGGCTGTCTGCGACTGCAGGATTTTATTCCTTCCCAGAACAAGTACAGCAGAGTGTCAAGAGATGCAAATGAGATGAAAATACTTCTTTCCTCAACGTGTCTGAGCTTCTTTCAGACCACTCTATTGTCCACCCTTCTGAGGTCGCCTCTGGGCCTTTCCGGAAGCTGTGCTATAGATCCTTAACTCCTACAAAAATGTGTTTCCCAAGGGACTCTGAAGTGGACTAGCTCTTCCCCAGACACCAGGGTGCCCCTAGCCTTTGTTCCTATAGAACAGCATACCCTATGACGTGATAATGAAATATAGCTGTCTATATGTGCTGTGAGGGCTGTATTTTTGTAAGTATCCTTAGTATTTAAGAATAATTGACATTTTTACTGAATAAATTATGAAATAATGGACTACAGACACTTATTAACTACTTAAAAGATAAGCCTGTTCTTTTCAGTATATTCTTGTCCATATTTAACCATACTTATATCTGATTGAATAGATGACTCCACTTTTAAGTTTCAAAATCCAGGACAAATGGTTAATTGAGGTGTCTACTTAACATACCAAAGTGGACCAGGTTCTCCCAGCCTTCCCTCAGTTATCTACCTGTCACAGGATATGACAGGCATACCACCAACTCCTACCCCAAATTTCTCCAGG